ATGAGAGAGAATCACTGATCGGCTGCCTCCTGCACACCCCTTACTGGGGATCGAGCCTGCAACTGGGGCATGTGCCCTGACCCAGAATGGAACCTTGACCTCCTGGTTTATAGGTTGAAGCTTAACCACTGAGTCATGCCAGCCAGGCCACAAACACTATTGTTAGATCAGAAAACCAAATGTTAGTCACAGATATGGCCTACTGATTTTCTAATCAAGGCAAATGTTACCTGGATGCCTAATAATGCCAAATCTCGGGATATCCCAAGGAAAGCATTCATTACTAAATAAAGAGGGGCTAGCACACACGGAGAGCGAAACAAAACTAAAATTTTCCTGTGCCTGTTCCAAGGACCATTTATACTGCTGGGCATTTCCCCATATTTTATTTTAATCTTAACAACACTGGAGGTTGCTTCTTTTTAAGTGATCGTATCCCGGTTTATGCCTATTGTCCTTAGTGACACTGTACTTCTGTTATCCATATTTTATGGTTAAATGGAAACTAAAGGAAGGAAAGGATTCTGTGTATGGTTCAAAGCCTGAACACTCCTCCCTTCTGCAGTTGGATTTCTTCAGTGGATATCCCATTCATATCTCATCCAACTACAACTCTAATACACCACCATTTCGCTGTTTGCTGAATTATGGGAACTCAAGTCCTTATCTTATTTGACCTCTATGTAAGTTTTCACACTGTTTACCACCCCGTCCTCTCAAGTGTCCACTCCCTTGCTTCCATGGCACCATTTTCCTGGGTCTCTCTCACCGCACTTGCTTTTCCTTCGGAGTCCTTCTCTCCTTCTTTAGATCTTGTTCCTCCCAGGCCCTCTACTCAGATCACATTTCATTCTTGAAGTGATCTTATCTTTGACTTTAGCATTAGTTATTCTGCTGATGAGTCACATACCTATAACTCTAGCCCAGAGCTCTCTTCAGGATCTAGTGTCATATATCCAGTAAGATCTAGACATCTGTATTTGCGTGCCCAAAGGTACTTCATACAGCTAACTAAAAATAGATCATCTTCCTCTCCAATCAGATTCCTCTTCTAGCATTCCCTTTCTCCATCAGTGGACTTCCCATCTCAGTCATGCTGTCCAGAAACTTGGGTGTCATCCTTGACTGCTCTTTATGTCCGACTGCCTCCAGTAAATTACTGAGTTGTACAATTCTTTCTTAACTTCAGGTCATATTCTCTGATCCCCACTGCCATTAACTTGGTTCCAGCGACCTTCATTGCTTTCCTGGACTGCTGCACTAGCATTAGACTCTGTCTCCACATTCTTCCCCTCACATTTCCTTCCCTCCAATCTATTCTCTTGACATAGTCAGGTCACTTTAAAAATGCAAATCTTATCATGCCATTCTGTATAAAAGCCTTGACTCTGCATATACTGTAAAATGGTGAATTTTATAGTATGTGGATGATATCTTTTTAAAAAACAACCTGGTTTACAAAGCCTCCCATGACCTGGTCTGACTTCAATGTCTCTCATTGTCCATCCTTCCAGGACCTCCCATCTCCTCTTAGCTTTACTCCTCTTTGCATTTCTGCTTCTGAGCTCTCCACAGACTGTCTCACCTCTAACTGTGCTTTTATGCCATCTATTCTCTCTCTTTACCCTCTTCTTCCTCTTTACTTGGCTACCTCATCCTTGTCCTTCAGGTCTCAGTTTGAGATGATGCTTTGACAGAAAGCCTTCCCTGATCTCCCCAGACTGGGTTTGGGTGTTCCTGAGGCATTTCATACGTAGCCCTTTTGTAGCATTCACCACATTATATTTGTTAATTTTACTAATATCAATTAATTGCTCTGGGCTGGGCATTGGACTAGGGATGTGGTCCCTGCCCTCCTAGAACTTTAGTCTCAGAAGGAAGGAAGATAGACATTAAACAATAAACTAAATATTTGATTGAGAAAAAAAGAATTCATGGACACGGACAACAGTGTGGTGACTGTGGTGGGGGAGGGAGGGGAGTGGGTGGAGGTGGAAGTGGGTATATGGGGGATACATGGCGATAGAAAAATAATAATAAAGTAAAGGGAAAGCCCAGCTGGTGTGGTTTCATGGTTGAGCGTCAGCCTATGAATCAGGAGGTCATGATTCAATTCTGGTCGGGCTGGATCCCCAGTGTGGGGTGTGGAGGAGGTAGCTGATCCACGATTCTCTCTCATCATTCTATCTTTCTCTCCCTCTACCTTCCTCTCTGAATTCAATAAAAAAAAATGTATTTTTTTTAAAAAAGAAAAAATACAAAAGCAAAAGCAAAAAGCTAAATATTTGAATTGTAACTTACGATGTTTTAGGGCAGCCTGAGAGGGTGTGATAAAAGATTTGTTATAATTGAAGGGATCAGGAAAGACTGCTCAGAGAAAGTACCATTTAAGCAAAGACTTTAAGCAGCAGGAGTTGGCCAAATGATGAGTGGAGATGGGAATGTTGTTCCATGTAGAGGAACAGCATATGAGAAGGCCCTGGCAGAAAGGTGCTTTGGGGGATTCCAGGAACGTAAAGGCCATTGTGGAAGCAGAAGAGCACGGAGGAGCCAAATCATCACCTTGTGGATGACAGTCAGGGTGTCCCTACATACTCTTAAGAGGAATAGGAAGTCTTGGCAGACTTCAAAGAGGAGGACTTTTTAGCTTTTCTGGGCTGCTGTGTACAAGTGAAAGCAAGATGACAAGAGGCTCACAAATTTCCCTGAATGTCCCACTAAACTATAAGCTTCTGGGGGCAGAAATTGTCTTATTAATTAGTGTATTCACAGGGTCCAGCACTACATGACACTAGATGCTCAGTATTATATTAATGAATTGAATAAATGGGAGGTGGGGTCAGTATTTCAACTTAGGTTTTCAAAAAAGGCTCTACTCAAGTATCGACTCCCCACCTCCCACATACAACCCTTCAAAGACCACTTCTCCATCCACACCCCAGACTATTTGGCTATCCCTCCTTTTGCCTCCAATGCATCTGGTTGATTATATTTTCCAAAAATGGCCATCATAATATTCAACATCCAAAATGCTCTTATTACAAAATAATTTTGACACTCTTCCCATTGAGAAGTGAGGTCCAGTTCCCCTCCCTTGGATTTGAGGCAAGGTGATATAAGGTGATTCAGCTTCCTCTTGGTTCGCTTGGGATACTTGCTCTTAGAACCCAGCCCCCATGATATGAGGGAGCCCATCCCCCCCACATAGAGGCCTGCATGGAAAAGAACCCATAGCCAACATCAACTTGCCAGCCATGTGAGTGAGCCATTTTGAAAGTGAATCCTCCAGCTTCCAGCAATCCACCCAATTGACACCTTTTGGAGTGGAAATGAGCTATCCCGCTAAACCCTGCCTGAATTACAGGTTCATTAGCAAAATAAATGATGGTTGTTTTAAGCCCTTAAGTCTTGAGATGGTTTTCTTAAGCAGGGATAGGTACCTGGAACAGCATCCTGTGTTTATCGTGCAGGGAGGTGGTGCAACGCAGTAACTGTGGGTGGCCTATGACTGTCTGGTTCAAAGCCTGCCTCTGCTGCTTACTAATTGTATGCCCTTTCGCAAGTGACTTAACCTCTCTGTGCTTCAGTTTCCTTCTTTCTTCAATGTAAATAAAATAGGACTTAAGTTTGTGAGGATTAAGTGATAATGCAGGTAAATGCAGATTTATAGGTAATACAGAGCAACCTTTGTGATCATCTCAGACAAGCCTTGATCGTTCCACCATTCTCATGTGATTCTAGTTTTTGTCCTTATAGTACTTTTGGTATTTGTGTGTGAGTGTGTGTGTGTTTACACAGGTATGTATATACATACATATACAGATATAGTATATAGCTTTCAGTACTGTCTGAAATGTGTACTTGTTTGTTTCCCCACCAGAGTATAAGTCCCAATAAAGCAGGAGACTTACTTGTCACTTTCGCTGCTGTATTTCCAGTATGTGGAATGGTGCCTGGCACAAAGTGCTAAATAACTTTTTGTTAATGAATGGATGAATAGCATGTTCACACTAGTTCCTATCCAGTATCCATTCTCCTTCCACAGTAGTGGACCCTGCTTTTGTTGTGGATGTCAATATAAAATCCTGTCCCAGATTCCATTGCAGCTAGGGGTTATTGTGTAATATATTTCTTACCAATGAGCCATAGTCAAAGGTCTGCTAAGGATGCCTGGGAAATTTTTTGCTTAATATAGGCATTGCCCTTTCTTCTTCTTTTCCTCCTTCCTGCCCAAAATCCAGGCTAGAAGGAGAACAGCCCCAAAGACCATAAACATGAGAACAAAAACAGGAGCTACCTGAGATGTTAATGAATTATCTAGTGGAGTCGCTATACCACAAACATTCTATGTGAGGAAAAATTAACCCCTCCTAGTTAAGCCCCAGCAGTCAGCCTTCTGTTACTTTCAACCAAATACATTCTCAACTGTGGTGGAGTAATATCAACCCTCTAGGCTGTTTAATAAGGGCAAGGGAATAGTTCGTCTTCCTTACTATTCTATAGAAGGATTAGAAGAATTTACCAACACAAATGATATTATTCAGGTCTCTTCAGCTCCTCCAAATAGTGAGAGTGGGCAAAAAGCAAGGGATGCCACATTATCTGAATCTATTGGGCTCCCGAGTTCAGTCATTTTAAATAGTGGGGGTAACATGTGCCATTCATTCCTGAAACAAACATGTATTTCTTGTACTCTTGGCCAGGCATTATATGGCTTCAGATGATTGAAGCTGGATGCCCAAGTTCCCACTAAACATTAAGCTCCCAAAGGGCAGGAGCTGAGCTGTTCCCAGTAAGAGATTTAATTCTAGCAGTCTCTCTGCCATCTTGTTCCTCATCTCAATCTTCTTTACCTCTGACCCCAGTGCAGTGGTCTGACTTCACTTATTCTCATTCCCCAGCCTTTTTTTTTTTTAGTGTTTCCCATGTGCCTAGAATACTCAGTGCTTGGACTGCATATCTATTTGTATTTTGAATTCCTCCTAATCTTTTATTTCCAGATTATTCAGATTTCAAACTATCTGCTTTTTCTACAACTAAATCTCTGTATGCTCCTGCTGGTCCATCATAAAGTGACTGTTCTTCCAACATGAAACATCTGTGTGGTTTACCTTAAACTCAGCTGGGGGTGCTGGGTGCATTAACCTGACCCTGATGTCATGACTGGGTGTGGTCATAAGCACACATGATAGATCCCCTCACTCAGCTCCACGGTACATCCAGACCGGAATTGAGACTAAAATGTTTCCGACTAATCATAAACTATGCCCCAAAGAGTAAATCTTTAGGAATTGCTGCCATGGGAACACAGATAGAACAGGTTGAGGTAGACTATTGAGACAAGTGCCAGGAATCCTAGGATGACACTATATCGTCACCTTTCATATTTTACTTTTGAAGGTCTATTTTTTGTTAATCCTTACCCACGGGTATTTTTCCGAGGATATTTTTCCATTGAGTTTTAGGGAGAGTAGAAGGAAGGGGAGAGACAGAGAGAGAAACATCAATGTGACAGAGACACATCCACTTGTGCCCTAACTGGGATGGGTTTCGAGGTACATGCTCTTGACTGGAATCGAACCTGGGACCCTTCAGTCCGTGGGCTGACACTCTATCTACTGAGCCAAACCAGCTAGGGCTGAGGGGGAGGGACATCTTTAAAATATTTGTGTGTGTGTGTGTGTGTGTACTATTCAGGGGCAGGAGAGGTTGGTCCAGTTTGAGAGACTGATGGAAATTATAGCACCTTTCTTCAAAATAATACACATCTGTACACATGCACACAATATTTAGAAACCATTTCTGTAGGTCCAGGTTAAGAATCCACCTGTGATTTGCCATGAGGGTGGGAACTTTTTCAATAACATAATTTGGTCCTTTATGAGGTACAATTTTCATTTCTCTTTTGTGTGTGTTTTATCCCATTGAGCAGGCAAGCTTCCTGCAAGGAACATTAAAAAACAAACAAAAAACCCACCCTTTTTATTACCCCTAGTGATGTGTATATATAGGGCCGAGACTTGTGGGAAGTATTTGCCATTGAGTCCTTTGAAGCTGCTATGATTTACCGTGGAAAGGCAGCTTTCAGTATTCTGCCACCCCACTTCCCTCCAGAACAAGAGACCCTGTACTCAACATTCTGTTTACTTTATAAGCTTTAGGCCAAGGCAGTATTTACACAGTCTTCATACAGACATCCAGTCTTGGACATTTAGGGTAAGCTTTATAGCCCCCCACCCAAAACAGTAAATATGAATAAACAAATGCACTCTATTACCTTAAAGATCTGTGGTCTTTATTCCTTCCATAGCTCCATGCCTCCCCCCGTGCATACCCACACCTGTAATCAGATCCTCTACTTATCCCATGATTTTTTAAACATTAATTAAAATTTTTTTGTTTTGTTCATTCTCACACCAGGATATTTTTTCCACTGACCTTTAGAAAGAGTGGAAGGGGGAGGAGGGGTCAGGAGAGAGAAACGTCTGTTGGTTGCTTTCTGCATGTCCTGACCAGCGGATCAAATCTGCAACCAGGTATATGCCCTTGACCAAGAATGGAATCTGCACCTCTCCAGTGCGAGGCTCTAACCACTGAGAACACAGGTCAGGGCTGAATTTTATTTCTCAAACTACTGTACATTCCTTTCCTGGTATGTGCTTGCAGAAAAAACGAAAAACAGGAATAAACCTAATGCTAATTGAATAATGGCCTCGTAGTTTTTCCTTTTTTTCAGATCCTTCCCTCCCACCTATAAATTTCAAAAAGGCCATCTTTAATCCTAACCTCTAGAATTTGAAAGTGTTTTCCCTCCTCCAGTCCCCTCCCTGACTTTGTAGGCAGTTACAGCCACCTAGTGGCCATATGGGAAATGACAGATTACTCCAAAAAGCTGGTGAGAGGAACCTCATGGAATAATTTTTGGTCTTAAATCTATGGAGAGCAAGGAAAGAGAAACCTGTGGATAGAGACTGTAGCACAGAGCCCAGACATCCTATTTCTTGGCCCCACCTTGCCTCCTAGGATGCAACATCCCATTCACTGGTTATTATAAACAAATGAATTCACTTAACATTTGAGTTCATTCAATCAAAATTTATTGAGCAGCAACTGTGTGCCTAACACTTGGAATACAGCAAGAAACAAGTTGGGCACGATTAATGCTCTAATGATACAGTCTAGCAGCCAGCTAGCCAGCCAGCCAATTACATCCGTAATTTTAACCCAGAGGTGATGATAGCTTGGAAAAAGGAAGATGGATTCCAGAGATATTTAGGAATTATAGTCTACTTGGAGAGTGACTGGTTGTGTGAGGAGAGGGATGTGTTTCTGGCAACAGGTATTGAAGTAGGAGACTCTGGAAGAGGGACAGATCCCATAGCCATAGGTCCTGAGGATGCATAGGCCTACAACAACAACATAGCTTTGGTTCTCAAATAGTTTAGGATTTAACTGGGCAAACATGATGCACACAAAACAACTGTAGAGTTGATTAAACATCAAAATGATTCTGGTAATTCATGGACTCTAGCAATACATGGGACTAAAAGAATCCCTCAATCCTCACCTTGTGTTCAGGTACTGCTGACGCCAAAACAGATGTCTCCACCTTCGTCCATGCCTTTCATAGTTGGCCCTTCAATAAACTCCTATGGCCCTAGCTGGTTTGGCTCAGTGGATAGAGTGTCAGCCTGTGGACTAAAGGGTCCTGGGTTCGATTCTAGTCAAGGGCACATGCCCAGGTTGTGAGTTCAATCCCCAGGAGGGGCATGCAAGAGGCAGCCAATCAATGATTCTCATCACTGATGTTTCTCTCCCTCTCCTCTCTAAAATCAATAAAAACATTAAAAAACACACAACTCCTATGCAGCCCACACAATGTCTCACAGGGGCCACCTTTGTCTGCTCTGGGCCCATGTCAGGAGGATGCACTATCCCCTCTGCTTCTTGTTTGCCTGTTACCATCAGGAAATTCCCATTATTCTCATTCTCCTTCCCTGCTTACGTTAAATGGGACCAAATCCAGTTCTCTTTTGGTCCTCAGGAATTTTGACTTAATTAGCTCCTTTCTTTACATTACCCTGTCAAGTCCCTTATTGTAGAAACAATATCTTGCAAAGTCAACCCTGCATCCTCACATTCCCTAAGATGTGCAGGCCCATACTGTGCTATTTGCCTCCCTTTGCTCCACCATCCAAAGTGTCCCACTCCAAAGGCCCAACTCTAGTTTTTCCTGGAACCAGTATATACCCACCTCTTTGCCTTGAAAACGTCAGAAGAAAAATTGTGCTATGGGATTAACCAAGAAGTAGTCTCAATAGCTATTGCTCAGCTGACACTTAACCTCACTGCCTCCTATCTGTCTCTGCATACCTCTGCTAATAGCTGCAGAAAAAACAGCTGACTGCACAATGAGCCTGCAGGTTCCCATTGCGTAATGAGCCTAGAACATTGAGATATTCCCTTTACAATGAAAAGAACATGGACTTTGAGCAGACTTGGGTTTACCTCCTGATTACTAACTAGTCTGCCTTAGTTTTATTAAATCTTGCTAAACTACAAAAGACTTATCTGTAAAATAGGTAATGTGTAGTTATACTAAACAGTGTATAAAGCACATAATATAATATCTAAACCGAATGAATTCCCTGGTAACCATTCACTTCCTTTCTTCCCCTTGGGTTTCAGCTGACAAATACTATTCAGAAGGGAGATTAGCCAGTTTTGTGTGGCCAATGATAGACATTTCCTATTCCTGTCTTTGTAAACACCATCTTCCTGCAGCCATCCCATTTCCATCGTTGCCAAAAAAAAAAAAAAAAGAAAAAAAAAAAGTCATTCCACCCCTCATCCCTGTATAAGATTTCTCTTTCTCTTATCATCAAAAAGTTCTACCTGAGCCCTAGCCGGTTTTGCTCAGTGGATAGAGCGTTGGCCTGCGAACTGAAAGGTCCCAGGTTCGATTCCCGTCAAGGGCACATGCCTGGGTTGTGGGCTTGATCCCCAGTGGGGGACTTGCAGGAGGCAGCCGATCCATGATTCTCTCTCATCATGGATGTTTCTCTCTCCCTCTCCCTTCTTCTTTGAAATCAATAAAAATATATTTTTTAAAAAGTTCTACCTGAACTCTATCCTCTTCTACATCTCCTTAGTCCAAGATATTTTGTCTTCTTATATCATTTTAAAAAATTAACTTCTAACATTCTCCCTAATTTTCTCAGAGTAAATTATAATGGACCTGTGGAATAGGGCACTAATCTTTCATAAGGGGATGGGAACCACAGGTCAATTCCCAGAGTAGAATGGAGGTCTCGGTCCAGGAACTCCCCCACCCCAACCCCATCTCTTTTCCTACAGGGCACAGAAACAGCCACATTCAAAATATGTCTTGAGTCTACATAAACACATATCTCCTTTCCTATAGCTCTGTGAGGTCATCGTTGAAGTAGAGCAGTATTGCAGGTGTGTGGAGTGTACCATCCATATTGAGATAATCAAATTCTTCCTCCTCATCCCGGATCCCATTCTCTTCCAGGGTACATTCCATGTTCAGGTTCTTCCCTTCATATTTCCATGTGTAGCTGGCAGCATGTGCATTATAGGGGAGATAGCGGTGTAGGATTTCCCACATTGATTCTAGGGCCCCCACCTGGAGAACACAAAAGCACCCCACTCCTAGAATTCTGGGTGGAACACACACACACACACACACACACTCCAAACAAAGGCCAAGAGCCACAAAAATGAGCTGGGATCAGAGTGCCTCCCTTGGCAGATAGCTTCAGACACTCCACAGCCCAGAAATGAAGTTGGAGCTCCAGCATGCAATGAATGGCACTAAAGACCTACCTGTCTGTGTGGCAGCCACTTCTAATAGATGGCCCTAAAGGTCAAAGTCATGTCACTGCCCCGTAACTTCATCCCCACAATAGACTATTAAGAGTCCAATTGCATTTGCTGTCCAAAATACAGCATGTAAGGTTTCCATGGACCACCAGCACTAAGATACATAAATTGCTGCCCTGAACTTATAAAGGAGTCCATTACACCCTGTGACCCAGCCACTGGGGACCGGTGGTCTGCTTTCCTGGCTTGCACCTAAAAGGGGGTGAAAATACAGCTCTCACCGGTTTTGGAGAGCTGATGGCCTGAAGATCTGCTTGGAGATTTCCTGGGGTTCCCAGTTCCCTCTAACTTGCCCCCAGGCATCAGTTCTCACCTCCAGTGTGTGCTCCTGCGACGTGAGTGTGTTAATGATACGGATGTTCCGGGTCTGGGCGGACAGCCGACCCACTTCATAGCGCGTCCCCTGCCACCAGGGCTTCCCGAAATCATTGGCCCAGTCGGAGCGAGGCAGCTGAGGTGGGATATGCAGAAAGCGGCCCCGGGGGGTGCGGTATCTCTGGGCACCAGTCATCGGATCTATGTACATTCGGATCTTCAAAGCAGGTTTGGGGGAGGGAGGTGGGAGCAGTCACTATCTCGGGCTCTGGCTAGCCCCTCTTTTTCCTCCCCATCCTCACTTTCCAGTGCTTCCCCCCGCCATACACACACACAACACCAGGCAGAACTCACATCTTTGGTCTTTGGGTCAAACCAGTGGCTGATGTCCTGACCCGCAACTTCCACGATGGGTTTCAGCAGCAGGTCTCCTGGGAAGGCACAGCCGCCGTCAATGCTAGCCGCCCGAGAACCAGGCACCCACAAACACCCCGCAGCGGACCGAGTGTGGCCCTTACCTTTGTGTTTTTGTGCCAACGGCGTTAGGTCGTATACGGATCCCAGGTAAGACACCCAGAGGTCGTCCGGTTGGTTATGTTGGGCCACCTCAACCGGCGTGAAATACCGACGCCGGAAAGTCTCAAAGTCTGGCCCGGCAACTAGGCCCCGGCGTGGCATGGCTCTTGCTCTATTGGAAGCCGGCTCCTTTAAATTTCTTCCTCGCCCCTCAGCACACTCTCATTGCTACATCCTCCCTCATCCTGGAGCTAAGACCAGAGCGTTTACCCGCTGACATGGAAACCATTGTCCCTTTTCAGCCACCGTCTAGAGGTCAAACGCTGCGTGGGCGAAGAGTGGCGTCGATCCATGGGAAACGTAGTTTGATTCCCGCTTTCAAATAATTGAGTTACGTCCTCAGGAGCTCCGGGGAGAATTCACAGTGGCCTGGGCTACAGGGGATATTTAGGACAGACTTTCTCGCGAGGCAGAAAAACAAGGGAGAGTTGTGCGATTCTGAAAAAAATATATTCTTGCTAAATTCCAGGGTTCTTAAAGAATATGTAAAAAAAAAAAAAGAGGTAAAGTTTCTCGCGATATCTTAGTACATCCGGCATAATAGAACTCAGTGAGCCTCAGCGCTGGAAAGTAGAAGCTCGCGAGATCTCTGCAGTTGCCGAAGAAAAGAGGAGGAGGAGAGGTGATCTCGCGAAAGAAAAGCTGCCGGGAGAGCTCGCGAGATCTCAGACCACCGGACCCGAAAGGTTCTTAGGGAGTTGAAGGGCCTGGAGGCGGCCCCGGAAGAAATGGCGGGAGCTGGGCCGACCATGCTACTACGAGAGGAGAATGGCTGTTGCAGCCGGCGTCAAAGCAGCTCCAGCGCTGGGGTTAGCGTGGGCTTGGGTTCCGAGATTGAGGGGCAGTCGGGGAGCAAGATGGGAGGATGGTGGGGGGACTGCAGCTCCCGGCAGCCTCTAGGATTCGTGTGAGCGCCCCACGGGCTGTCGGGAGCTGTGGTTCCGTGGGCGGGCAGCAGCCTCGGCGGCGCGGTCTGAGCGCGTGTACTGCCCCGCGCAGGACTCAGACGGGGAGCGCGAGGACTCGCCGGCTGCGCGCGCCCGACAGCAGCTGCAGGCGCTGCTCAACAAGACTATGCGCATTCGCATGACAGATGGACGGACGCTGGTCGGCTGCTTCCTCTGCACCGACCGCGACTGCAATGTTATCCTAGGCTCGGCGCAGGAGTTCCTCAAGCCGTCGGGTCAGTGCTCGGGGAATGCACCGCCTGGGAATGCGGTGGATCCTCACTCGAGGCAATTCCCCTTTAGTGCCTGGCTGCACCCCTTATTTTGGGAGGCTGGAAGTCGTGGCTCAAAAGGGGCGGGACCGACGCTGGCTGGCCTCCCTGATGTTCTGACCCTTCTTTCCAGATTCCTTCTCTGCTGGGGAACCCCGTGTGTTGGGCTTGGCCATGGTACCCGGACACCACATCGTTTCTATTGAGGTGCAAAGAGAGAGCCTGTCGGGGCCTCCCTATCTCTAACCATGATCGCGCATGCCTTTTAGACTTCATTAAACCTGTAACCCAAGTGGCCTGTGTGTGTGTAGCTGGGATGCCTGGACAGAGATCGCACTTCCCACCCCTAGAGCGGAGGTTTACCTGAAGTCAGAAGCACTGTCAGCCCTCCTTCCACCACCTAGACTTCCAGGAGTGCCACAGGTCCCCTCAGGTTCGCGGGCGGGGATGGGGGACAGGCTGAGCTTCGGACCAACAGGTCCCAGGGTGGACCCCTCCATCTTCCCTCCCACGCTGCTGCTCCAGAATTGTGGCGGGAGGGGGTGTCATCCTGCTCCGGAAGGTCCATTGTTTCCCTTCCCGGCCTGGCAACACCGAGTTCCTCTAAGCTGGGGTCAGAGAACGGGCTCGGGTCCCCAAGGGGAGGAGGGCAAGCGACAAAGCCCAGGCCCTCTCCACTCTATTGATGGGGAGGTGACTTTGGGGTCAGGGACAGAGCTTGGGTCTGGTCAGGAAGAACAGGCTGATGCGATAAGGGAAGGCCAAGAGGCTGGAGGATGCTCCCGTCTGCACACTTGAGCCACACCCCCTCCCATGTTGTTTCCTTCTCCTGGGCACATAGCAGTAGTGATAGTATTTGCACCGCCCCTCTGCTCACAGGATCCAAGAAGCACATTCAGTTCATTAATTCTTTATTAACGTGTGGTCACTCCTTCCCCTCCAACCTCACCCATCAGCCCGTAAATACTAGCGGAGCTGCGCCGGAAAAGGAGGGCACCAGTGAGGCTCAGTTGTCCTATTCACAAGATGGGGGGTGGGGTGGGGGGTGTATGTGCAGGGTCCAGCCCAGATATTCAGGGTTCAGACATGGACAGTAAACAGAAAGGGTTTTCGGAATGGCGAATTTTCACCAACATTGGGTCCACAGATGCTGCAGTTTGCCAAGGGGATGCTAGGACTGGCTTAGGCAGGGACGGGGCAGGGTAGGTCGGAAGACCCCCAGGCTTCAAGTCCTTGGGCGGATTGAAAAGGAGGGCATTCGTCGGGGTTGTTCTTGACTCGAGGGTCCTCAAACCCATACCTTTCCTGACGTGGGAACGGCCTGGGACCCCGGTGAGGCCCGGATTTGCCGCAGCTGCGGGGAGCGCCGGCGCCGATAAAGGGCTCGGCTGTAGGGCACGAGGCAGTCGGCCAGGTGGAGGCGCAGGCAGAGGCGGCGGTAGCTGGCCAGAGCGAGGACGAGCAGCGGCACGAGTAGCAGGAATCCGGTGACCAGCAGGGCCGTGAAGCCCGGGTCCCGCAGGTGCGCGGTGCAGGGGGGTGCCTGGGAGCGCAGAAACTGCAGAGGAGGTGTCAGGCCCAAGCCGAACAGCCCAGGCGAGAAGTTGTGGCCCATAAACCCCGCACCCGTACTCGCACGCACACCCTGGGGCGCCCGCTCACCTGGGAGTGGCAGAGGAAGCCAAAGCTTAGCATGGTGACCGCGGGTAGCAGGATGGTCCCCAGCACCAGCGCCAGCAAGAGGAGATTGAAGGCAGCCACCAGCAGATTCTGGGCGGTGACCAGTACGGCACAGGCCCAGCAGTAAGGGGTCCC